TTTAGCTTATGATGATATCACATGATCCACCCAAACCTCCTCTAAGCTTCCTGTAGTTTTCATGCTTCCATGCTATGAATTAGCAGCTACAGCCCTCCTATGGGGCTCTCCCTCTTGAAGACTCTTGTACTTTACATTTATCTCTCCAAGTCTTCTACCTCTTTTCCCTCCCCTTCTCCTCAGCACACCTGGTAGGTAACAATGGGACTGGGATCAGGCCAGGAAGAAGCTGCTAGGTGTGTGTCCAGGCAGGTCTTGGGTAAAGCTGGAAAAGGGGTGGATTTACATCTGAGACCCCAGAGGAAGATTCTATGAGGTTGACTGAACTGTAAGTAGTGCCTTGAGTCCAAGGCACTAATGGTGACCATCACTACCTGTAGACATGCACTGCTTCTATTCTGAATACTGTCTTAATTTCTAAATCATCACCAAATAAAACCCTGAAATGGAAATTTTCAAGAGCCTCTATGGTGGTGATCAACTTATTTTCCCAAAGGTCAATATATAATTTTTAAACTTTGTTTAATGGAGAATTTTAAACAGAGAGAATAGTATAATGAACCAGAATAAACAGCATCAACAATAATTAATTAGTAGGATTTTTTTTTTTTAAGAGATGGAGTCTTGCTTTCTTGCCCAGGCTGAACTTGAATTCCTGGAACTTTTGGGCTCAAGCGATCTGCCCACCTCAGTTCCCACCTCAGTTCCTGCCAAGATTACAGGACAACACCTGGGTGACACCGAGATTACAGAACAACACTCGGGTGACCCACAGACAATCTTGTTTCACCTATACCTCCACCTATTCCTCCTTCGGTTTATTTTAAAGCAAATCTCACACATTACTGTATATACTTTCATTTATATTTCAGTATGTGCCTCTAAAATATAAGGCCTTAAACAATATAGCCATATCTTTATTACACTTAAAATAATTAATAATAATCTTGTTTTTTTGTTTTGTTTTTTGTTTGAGTTGGGGTCTCACAAACATGGCTCACTGCAGCCTTGACCTCCTGGGCTCAGGCGATCCTGTACCCAGCAAATTTTTTGATTTTTGTAATGATGAGATCTTGTTATGTTGCCCAGACTGGTCTCAAGCTCCTGGACTCAAGAGGTTCTCTTACCTCGACCTCTGAAAATGCTGGAATTACAAATGTGAGCCACCATACCTGGCTAATAGTTATTTATTATTATCAAGTATCTAGTCAGTGCTCAGATTTCCCTGATTGCCTCAAAAATATTTTCAGAGTTGGTTTGTTTGAATCAGAATCCAAACAAGATGCACATGTTGCATTTGGTTGACATGGTTCAAATTTCTTATTCTAATTCTACAGATTTCCCCTCCTTGTTTTTTTTTTTTTTCTTCAAATGCTGTATATTTGTTGAAGAAATCAGTCAATTGTCCTATGGAGTTTCTCAATTCTGGATTTTGCTGATTACTCCCTATAGCCTCTTGTTACATAATTCTCTGTACCCTGAATATCATGTAAATTAACCTAATTAGGTACAGAGGCCTAATAAGATTCAGGTTCAATTTTTTAGTAAATATTAGGTGCTGTGTTTTTCCATCGAGAGGCACACAATGTCTGAATCTGTCTGTTTCTCTCTTTATCGAGGGTCAATGGAAAATAGGAAGAAGCTTTCAAATAACAGAGGCAGGTTATTCGCAGACGCGTGCAAACCACCAGGCCTTGGGCAGTAAGCCATGGGGTAGGACAGAGGTTGAAGCTAACCCTGTCCTTTGCCTTTCTCTCTATTGGCCCTTCCTTCCTTTCCTGGACTTCTTTATAAAAAACCAAATTCTGGGCTGGCTGCTGATTGGGTTCAGAGTCTGCTCCCCCAAATTTGACAAAACAGCAGAAGCAGGAAAGTCTCTCACCTTTCCCTGGCCCTTCTCCCCTGAAGCAGGTCAACAGAACTTCATTCAAGAGGTGCCCACCCTAGACCTGCAGGAAATGAGCAGCCTTTTCTCTGAAGGCACAGGGACACAGAAGAATCTGAACAAAATGGATTTGCTAGGTTCTTCTTGGTTTATCACCATTTGATCATCCTCCTTTGTGCCATCATACTTCGAAACGATCCACTTCTTTATCAGACCTGGCATTAAAAATACATTGACTTTCCTGTTGCTTCAGGTCTTCATTTCCTTATGAAGGCTCCCATGTCACATAAAACTTACATTAAATTAATTTTATGTTTTTCTCTTGTCAGTGTGTCTTTTGTTATAGGGCCCTCAGCCATGAGTGTAAGATGGGTGAGGAAAAAAATCCTTTCCTCCCCCAGACCATCCTTCTTGCCAACCAACTTTGTCCCTGAAAGTTCTCCTAGCCCCTGCATGCTTTTCCCAGCACATCTCCCTTAACCTTGGCACCACCTAGAGAATCTGGATGCTTACAAGTAACCTTACAAGGTAAATTTTTTTGTTTGTTTTTTGAGTTGAGGTCTCACTCTGTTATGCAGGCTGGAGTGCAGTGGCAGGATCATGGCTCACTGCAACCTTGACTTTTTGGGCTTAGGCAATCCTTCTACCTCAGTCTCTTGAGTAGCTGGGACTACAGGAATGCACCACCACACCCTGCTATTTATTTATTTATCCCAAAGTGCTGGGGTTATAGGCTGAAGCACTGAGCCTGGCCTTTTAAAAAAAATTTTATAGAAATGAGTTTGTGGCTGGGCTCGGTGGCTCAACCTGTAATCCCAGCACTTTGGGAGGCCGAGGTGAGTGGATTGCCTGAGCCCACGGGTTTGAGAACAGCCTGGGCAACTTGGCAAGACCTCATCTCTACAATAAATTTTTTAAAAAATTAGCCAATGTGGTAGCACACGCCTGTAGTTCCAGCACTTGGAAGGCTGAGGCAGAAGGATTGCCTGAGCCCAGCATGTCAACACTGGGGTGACTGTGAGCATGCCACTGTGCTCCAGCCTGGGCGACAGAATGAGACTCCAACTCAAAAAACAAACAAACAAAAAAAGATACCTCCACACGCATGTTTATAGCTTCACTATTGACAATAGCAAAAACATGGAACCAACCCTACTGCCCATGGAAAGTGGACTGGATAAAGAAAATGTGGTACATATACACAATGGAGTATTATGCAGCCATTAAAAAGAACAAAATCATGGACTTCACAGCAACTTGGATGGAGTTGGAGACCATCATACTTAGTGATCTATCATAGAAACATAGAACTAATACTGCATGTATTCACTCATAAGTGGGACCTGAACATTAATCACATTAACACAAGGGAGGGATCAGCAGTCACTGGACACTGCCAGGGAGAGGGAGGGCACATAACAATACAAAGGATACCAGGTCCTAAACCAGGATAAGTGAGAACATTTGGAGTCCCAAACTTCACCTACATGTAGCCTAGTTCTGTAGCTGAATTGTACCCCCACATCTCTATAATAAAATATAAATAAATAATTAATAAAACAAAACAAAACAAAAAGAATGACTAGAATGTAGGGAAGAGAGGGCTAGTTTTTGTTTTGTTTTCTTTTTTGAGTTGAAGTCTTATTCTGTCACCCAGGCTGGAGTGCAGTGGCACACTCATGGCCACTGCAGCCTCGACCTGCTGGGCTCAGGTGATCTTTCCGCCTCATATTTCCAAGTAGGTGAAATTTGGGACTCCAAATGTTCTCACTTACCCTGGTTTAGGACCTGGTATCCTTTGTGAAATAGCTGGAAATATAGGCATGTGCCACCACGTCTGGCTAATTTTTAAAATTATGGTAGAGACAAGGTCTCACCAAGTTGCCCAGTCTGGTCTTGAACTCCTGGGCTCAGGCAATCCTCTCACCTTCACCTCTCAAAGTGCTGGGACTATAGGTGTGAGCTACCATGCCCGGCTGAGAGCTAGTTCTTAATTTCAAAATAATAAGTTAAAAAACTTTTGAATGTAAAGTTATACAGATTTTTAAAAAATCAACCTATCTAAAATGTTTTAAGATAGCCTCTTTAATGTACTCAGCTTGCATTTTTCAAAAATATTTTCTGTGGACATTGCTCTCTGAATATCTTCTGAGAGGAAGAAGTTCCATGGTGCACAAGTTTGGGAAATGCTGTACATCCTGTCCTGAGAAGGATCGTGATCATAGTAAAGACTCTAAAAAGTCCTGTAGTAAAAAACTTATGCAGTTGGCCCTTCCTATTTGTGGATTCCACGTCTATGAATTCAAACAACTGTGGATTAAAAATATTTGAGGAAAAAAATTGCATCTGTATGGAACATGTACAGACTTTTTTCTTGTCATTATTCCCTAAACAATACAGTGTAACAGTTACTTACATAGCATTTACATTGTGTTAGCTATTGTAAGTAGGAATGATTTAAAGTTTGTGGGAGGATGTGCATAGATTATATACAAATACTACACCATTTTTATCAGTTGTGCATCTGTGAAGGAGGTCCTAGAATCAATCCCCTATGGAAACTGAAACTCAACTGTTTAGCTTTGTCTAAGCAAGGATTTTTCTTTTCTTTGTTGAAGGATAATAGTTCCAGGACACACTTTGAAGATCCAACACAGCAGATCTGTGTAAAGTGAAGGATGGGAACAGAGGGGGATTAGGGTTCAAGCCAGCACTCTGTAATTCCGCTGGCCCACTTGAGTCTGGGAATGCTTGGAGGATCTAATTGGTAAGAGGTTCTTATAATGAGCTTCTACAAAAAAACTAACTTTCTAGGGGTGTTTCTTGATCTACAGTAATTAAGCAGATAAGCCAGCTTTGGCTTCCATCTTAGAGGATTTAACTGTGTCCTGCATGCCACCATAGACCATAGAAGCGTGGAACCATTGATACCTGGGACCTAATTTCAGTGTTCATCTGCTAGTAACAAAGCAAGCTTGCTAAGGTGAATCAAGTGGCCTAGAGTGACAAATTATTTGGAAATTGGGCATCCGTCACTGGGGAACAGGACAAATGTGCTGGAAGGTGAGGTTGTGAGTAGCACCTGTCACCTGAGCTTACAATCAGCAGGGATGTCATGGCTGTCAATGCGTGTGCTGCTCGGTGGCCTGGTCCACTAAAGCTCCAAGAGCAGGCAGTCCCGGGGGTGAACTTGCAAGCAATGGCAGCCGGGATTGGAGGCACTTACTCAGTGGTGAAATTGGCCTGTGAGGATGATGGTCAGACCTCTGTGTCAGAAGGACACTACAAACTTAGGCCTTCTCTCTTGGCACCAACTTTCAAGGATCACTTTTGTGTGAAGAGATACACGGCCTCTGGGTATGGCAAAATGAAGGAATAATTATTAATAAGTGATGGGTCCTGGGGCTGGGGAGGTATGCGTAGGTTGAAGCAGGCCCCTAGTCCACTGCTGAGAGAGCAGCAAGGGTCTAGGTCCTGGGAGAAGAGAGTGCATGGTGGACCCTACTAACCAGGCTGAAGGATGTTTCATGAGCATCACTGGCAGCCAGCCACTTTTCTTGGCATGGGGGCACAGTGCTGCATAAGGTCCCAACCCTGCCATTGAAGCTCTTCCAGGCAGGGGGCAGTGCAGCCTCAGAACACGAGCTCTGTGAAGAAAGAGAACTGGGTTCAAATCTAGCTAGCCATGTTTTGCTTAGTTTAACTAGTACCTTACAAGATGGGATTATTATAACTGTCCCTACTCAAAAGGTGTTGTGAGAATAGGAGCTAACACTTGATACCCATTTGGTGTTTTCTGAAGGTGTAATTTAATTAATCAATTTATTTATTTAGAGATGGGGTCTTGATCTGTTTGCCCAGGCTGGATTGCATAACTTTTTTTTTTTTTAATGGCGCTGACAACTTTTCTTTTAAAGCTTAAGGCCAGCCTGAATAAGTAAGAACTTCAGTCAACCAAGCAGCAAATATGTATTTTTGAACACTCTAGTAGGAACCAGATATCTAACATTTGTCTCTTCCCTCAGAGAATTTCTAATCTATATGGAGAACCAGGAAATGTTTATCTTCAAAGATACCAACAATACCAGTTTAAGATATTCGCCAGGGCAGAGATTTTTGCAGTTTGTTAAGCACTATCTCTAGGGTCTAGGACAGACCCTGGTATATAGTAAATACAATAAATATTTGTGGAATAAATGAATTAATGAAAATTCGCTTGAAGCAATGAAACAAGTTGGTTTATGGTCGCCAAAGGAATAGAAAAGCCTATATACTTACATGGCTCCCGGTTTGGGGTTCCACTTAGAAATAGCTAGGAATCTGATGGGTGCAGATGTTTTGTCAGTTAGCCGTGGTTTCTTTTTTCATCCTGCCTCAGTGGAGGTCAGTGAGAGACTGAGGCTGAGGCACAGCAAGGAAGCAAGAGTCAAAAGCAGTGGTGAGGAGAAATGGAAACACAAGCTCGGAACCCAAAGACCCAGGTGTCTGGACATTTAGAATAATTTGTTCAGCCAAGCTGCTGAAATTGCATAAGGAAATGAAAAAGCAAAACCAACTAAAATCAACAGAAAACCACTTCCCCATGGGGTAGGGAGTCGACATCAGCGGCTGGCCTGAGCGGGTGAAGCCTCTGGGCTTTTACTCTGAGCTGACTCAGGCACCGCCTAAAACCTGGACTGTAATGAGAGCCACCCTTTGGGGAAGGAAGCCACCTGCTCATGGCAAAACAGCAAATGCCACAATTTCAGAGCAAAAACAAAAGCAGCAGGTCTGTTGCCACTGCTTTTAGAGGACACAATTTCCCCCCAAAGGGACCATGAGCAGGAGGAAAAAGAGCTGTGTTTTTGCTGGTGGAGCCATGTCTACTCTCCCTCTCGGTGTGGAGGCCCTCATTTCCTCTCTTCCTCCCCTTCTTTCTTTCAGCAATATTCCTTGAGCATCTATTATGTGCTGGACACAATCCTAGGTGCTGGGGATATAGCTAGGAAAAGTACAGAGAAAGCCCCTGAATTCTTGGAGTTTCCAAGCAAACAACTCAGGAAATAAATATCAGATAGAGTAGGAGCTGAATGATACACTGGAGCAACCAGGGATGGTCCGGGGAAATTGCACTGGAGCCTGAGGGAGCAGTCAGTGAAGAAGCCCCGCGCTAGAGGTGCATGTGGCCAGTGGTGGAGGAACAGCGGTCTTCTGAGGGAGCAGCAGTAAGAGGTGGTGTCAGAGCCAGGGGGCTGCCAGCCAAAATCCTCCCTCTTCCAGAGCACAGTGAAACCTCCTTGCTTTGAGCTCCTAATGGTGGGAATCATGTACTGCCTCATACCTGGGATAGTGTTCCCAACTTTTCTGATCACATATTTCAATCAGAAAAAAAAGGCATCAGCATTTACTCACATAAATATGTATTTATATTCTGTACATTATAAAACACACTCCAAATAAAAATTAAAAGGATGAGGTAAAACAAATATCAATAAAATTTATAATCTCTTCCCATGACCTAATGGACTTTCTTGTGCACCTGCTGGGGAGTAAAGTTCTGGCTTACCAATCAGGGTAGTTTTTAAATGTGTGTCAAATGGGTCTCACCTGCACAATTGGATTGTGAATTCGTTTTTTTGAGTCGGAGTCTCACTCTGTCACCCAGGCTGGAGTGCAGTAGCATGCTCGTGGCCATCGCAGCCTTGACCTGCTGGGCTCAGGCAATCCTTCCGCCTCAGTCTTCTAAGTAGCTGGAATCACAGGCGTACACCATCATGCTTGACTAATTTTTTGGTTTATTGTAGAGATGAGGTCTCTCCAAATTGCCCAGGCTGATCTCAAACCCGTGGACTCTCAATCCTCTCGCCTCCACCTCCCAAGGTACTAGGATTACAGGTGTGAGCCACTGTGCCCGGCTGGATTGTGAATTCTAATAGGCTAAAAGCTGTCTTATCTCTGACGTTATCTGGCACAGGGATGAACAGATAGAAATAGTAATTATTATCTAAGAGATAAAAGTCTCTAATCCTGGTGGACACACAGACAACTGGTGTGGAGAGTCTCTACCGCGAGGCAGGGTTAGATCCTCTGGGCTTCCTGTGGCCTTGACGAAATATTCCTTGCTTCAGTCAGGTTCTAATCAGGAAGGAAGAGCCACTATGAGTGTAATGGAAGAAGGAACTTATTATAAGGGCAAAGCCTTACACAATTAGGGGAGGAACTAGGGACATAAGGATCCAAAAAAAGGTTGTTGAAGGACTGGAGAAGAGGCATGAAGGAGTACGGGCGTGGGTGAATGAGTCAGCACTGGCCGGCGCTGGAAGCCAGGCATGTGCAACTGCTAAAGAGGTTCTAGGTAGGGAGGTTGGTGTAGAAGTGAGGTTCCCTGTGGCTGCCACCTCTGGGCGTACACAGGAAGCATCTGCTAGTGGACCTGGGGCAGCTGTTGGCCAGCAGGGCCAGTAGTAGGAAGGTGTGCTGGATATGGAATGAGAGAGAACAAGAACAAACTGTCCTCCACTGCACTTGTGTCTGTCTCTCTTCAGAGTGTGATGGCTTTACTTCTGCCTCCCAAATCTCATGCTACTTCACTTTTTGCCCTACTCCAGCCTGGAACCACACAGGGAAGGGCATTCCAAGAAACGTGGTTTCCAGACTGAGTTTACCATAGAACAGTCCAGCACATCCTTAAGACCGGCTCCCTTTGTTCTGGTTCTGCACTCATGAAGTAACAAAATGATTATTGATTGTCTTCTCAAATACCTCAGTACCAAGAAGGAAGGGACCTGGAGGGGGAACGCAGATATTTCATTCTCTGGAAAAGTAGAACATCCCCTGAAAACGAACACTTTTAAATATGTGTCTGCAAGTATAAAACTGAACTTCAAATTATGATGAAACCACTAAATGTATTACCTAGTAGAGCTTTCTCTGAGCAGCATTTTAGCTTCTGTCTCTGGCATTTCAAGCTCAGATTGCTCCGATATCAAAGGCAAAATGAACTCTTGAATTTTCCCTCCTCTTCTTGGTCCTGCTTACCTCATGGTACAAGCACTGAAGATCAGATAAATGAAGCTAAAATGAGCAGAAGGAAAGGGTGGCTACTCTACACCCTGGAAAATTGCAACAGTTCATTGTTTATTAAAGCAAGCACCTATATTGCATTTATTGCATGTCATGCAGAGATCTAAGTGTTTTACAAGGAGAAATTAATTTAATCCTGTTCTAAGAGATTGATTCTACTATTTCCAGTCCTCTTTTACATATATAGTGAGAGACACAGAGAAGTTAATTAAGTTGCCCAAAATCACACAGCAAGGGATTCACAACATGACTTGAACTGTAGCTTTATGCGTAAAACATTTTTAAAAAGGCCAGGCATGGTGGCTCAAGCCTGTAATGCCAACACTTTGGGAGGCTGAGGAGAGAGGATTGCCTGAGCCCGTGGGTTTGAGACCAGCATGGGCAACATGGTGAACTCTCATCTCTACAGTAAATCAAAAAATTAACTAGGTGTGGTAGCGTGCACCTGTAGTTTCAGCTACTTGGAAGGCTGAAGCAGAAGGATTGCCAGAGCCCAGCAGGTTGATGCTGGCGTGGCCACGTGCATGCCACTGCTCTCCAGCCTGGGCGATGGAGTGAGACTCTGACTCAAAGAAAATTAAAAAAAAAAATTATTCATCAAATTTATAGAAATTGATGAGTTCATTTTCATTATCTTTGGAAAAGCTATTAAGAATATGTAATACTAGCTGTCATTTTAAAGGTGACTTTCTTAGAGACGGCAGTCCATTGCAGGTGTAGTCTCAGATCATGCTCACTATTGCCCTGTGAGGTAGGTATTATGATTTCCACCTTGCAGATGGAGAAATAGGAGAAGCGATTTGCACAAGAGCGTGCAACTCAGCTAGTTAATGGGAGATGCAAGGGCTGTCTTTCCCTCAACTCCACCATTGGTCTCTGTCTCATCTTAGTTTTTGCCTCCACTGGTCTTTCTCTTTCTTGGACCTCTGAGCAGCAGGGAGCAGAGGTTCAGGACTTGGTCTAAACATAGAAATAGGACAAACACTAAAAACTAGTAAGCACTTAATAAATACTTCAGAATGTATGACTGAACATTAGACAAATGTTCTAAACATAGAAATACTTTTGTGGGGTTTTGTTCCCCTCTTTTTTTTTTTTTGAGTTGGAGTCTCACTCTGTCGCCCAGACTGGAGTGCAGTGGCCGCTCCCGGCCACCGCAGCCTTGACCTGCTGGGCTCCAGCGATCCTTCCGCCTCAGCCTTCCAAGTAGCTGGAACTACAGGCATGCACTACTACACCCGGCTGATTTGTTGATTTATTGTAGAGATGAGGCCTCGCTGCCCAGGAGGGTCTCGAACCCGCGGGCTCAGGCAATTCACTCACCTCAGCCTCCCAAAGGTGCGGGATTACAGACTGACCCACTGAGCCCGGCTTGTTCCCCTCTTAACTAAATAGCATGTTATAAAACCATGAGAATTCTTACACATTGCACTTTTGGTCTTTAATAAAATATAAGTGGATTTCAGCTTCAGTCCTTTGTCTTTTGTTGACTTTCTTCTTAGTCTTTAGGGGACCCGGAGTCCTGACAGTCATACTCTCCATAAGGAAGGCCCAATCTTCAATATCTATATGTTTTTCTGCAAATTTCAGGATGAATATTTTCTGCCGTGTGTTTTCCTCTTTCTCTTTTAATAGTGTGCATTTTTGAAAGCGCCCATTAAAAAATTAACTTCCTTTCATAAAGGAATGTTTGCCCTTGAGCCTATCTTACATAATTTATGTAATAATTCCTAGCCATGGATCTTTTAACCTCTAAAATAATATTTCTCCTATTTTCTACTCCGTTTTTCATATGCAAGCTCCTGCTCCCCTGGCCCCATGCCCCATTCCCCACTTCTGCCTTCTCTGTATCTCCATCTGCCAGTTTTGATTTCTGGCTGACCACCAGTTATATAGTAACCGCCAGTTCAACTGGTAGGATCTTACATACAATATAGAAATACTATGAAAATTAGTCTGACATCCATGTTCTTCTGGCCCAAATGGACCTGGATTTGTTTTATGATAAGAAAAAACCCATTCTGCACTCAGAATGAGAGTATGAAATCATGTGTATAGGTTATTCACTAGCATTGTGCTCATTCTGTTTGTTTTTTTTGTTGTTGTTGTTTGAGTTGGAATCTCACTCTGTCGCCCAGACTGGAGTGCAGTGGCCGCTCCGGCCACCGCAGCCTCGACCTGCTGGGTTCCGGCGATCCTTCTGCCTCAGCCTTCCAAGTAGCCGGAATTACAGGCGCGCGCTACCACGCCCGGCTAATTTTTGATTTATTGTAGAGATGAGGTCTCGCCAAGTTGCCTAGGTGGGTCACGAACCCGCGGGCTCAGGCAATTCACTCACCTCAGCCTCCCAAAGCGTGGTATTTCAGGCTGAGCCACCAAGCCCGGCCTGGAGTATTTATTAAGTGCTTACTATTTTCTAGTGTTTAATGTGTTAGATACTAGGGTTGTACTATAATACTATAAATGACACTGCCCTTTATGTTTTTGTTTGGGTTTTTTTTGTGTTTTGAGTTGGAGTCTCACTCTGTCACCCAGGTTGGAGTGCAGTGGCACGCTCATGGCCTCTGAAGTCTCGACCTGCTGGGCTTACGCGATTCTTCCACCTCAGCTTCCAAGTAGCTGGAACTACAGGTGCATGCCACCACATCCAGGTAATTCTTTTTGTTGTTTTATTGTAGAGGCAAGGTCTTGCCAAGTTGCCTAGGCTGGTCTCAAGCCCCTGGACTCAGGCAGTCCTCTTGCCTCTGCCTCCCAAAGTGCTGGGATTACAGGTGTGAGCTGTAATCTGTCTGACACTGTCTTTCATGTGCAAAATTTCAACATCTATTCCTGAAATTTTTATTAGTGACTTATCTGACTGGGAAGTCACTGGAAGGTCTCTGTTGCTTCACTGTAAAATGAGAGGCTTGTATTAAGTGATCTCATAATTTTAAAGCCTCTAAAATCAAAGGATGCAGGAGATTTGACTTCTTGTCTTAATCTAATCATTAAATTGCTCAGTGCCTTTGAACCCAGTGTTCGGCCTCTAGATCCCAATCTATAAAACAAATGGAAGTTACTAGAGCAGGAATGAAAAAGTGAACTCTAGTAATAGCTCTTTCTAGGAAAAGAGGTTCTGTGGTCAAGAAGGTCTAGAAAATGCTGGAATCATAGGTTTCTTTACTATGCCAAATTTGCCTGGGGACTCTCCAAGTGGAAGATAGCAGATAATGCTTCCCAGACTTATTTGACAATGGACGCTTTCCCCCGGAGGCATCTTTGTAGTACTAATAATGTCTTTCAGAACACATATAAGAGATGTCTTACTATATGCCCCCTAAGACCTTTTACTTCAGCAATGCCCTCTATCCTTGGGTCACTGTCATGCTGTAAGGATCTGCTAGTTTATGTCCTGCTAGAACTGTGTTGTGTGCCCAGCATTGTTTCCTTTTCCTCTTCAAGTTATGCTTTCAATGCTCTTGGTGCTTGGGCTATAATCTCATCAATCCTGGGTACGTGGCCTTCAAAAGCACACATCTCATTAGCGCTTTGGACAATAATGTCCAGAACAAGTGCACAGTCTATTTTGCAGAGAAACATTTCACAGAGCAGCACAGAGGGAGCTCTTTGGAGGAAAGGGTTGAGATTAATAAACATGGGAAACAATAGCATTAATAGAACAGATTTCCCTGAAAACCCAGAAAAATATATTTGACATTTTGATGACCATACAACACAGTCTTTCCTGTCACAGGACTGCTGTTCCCAACCAAGACTGTTAGGACTCAGAGTAATGGAGCTGAGTGGCTCCATGCAAAAGTCTGTGTTCAACATCTGTCATGCTGAAGATCATTAATGTTCAATTGCTTCCTATTGTCTTCATGTCATTCAACTTCATTTCATTGTCATTGCTTCAGCTGTGGATTAATCAACTATTTATGGGAAGACAGGACTTGGAGTCAGAGCAGTCACAATGGGGTTACAGTCTGAGGCAATGGTGGGGGAATCAAGCCACAGTTAAGACTCCTGATTTATGAGTTTGTTGACAATTGAATTAAACAAACATTTGAAAATAATGCTGACAGGTCCACATTTACAAAGAAAATATACTTGGTCTTGAAGAATCCAGAAATGACTCTGGATTGAACCTATTTGAAACTGGCTTCCTTGCCCATTGATTTCTCTTAAGAGCAAATTATGAACTGAGAGAATAAAATTCATGGTTTCTCTGTATAATCAGTTCATCATTATCAATAGTGTAAATCATACTTTGCTTTTGTTCCTGAAATATCCAAGTAGTGTAAAATATTTACAGCTTTATGAGGTGGGCGAAGTTATTCCATTAGAAATTATTTCTTAAAACCTCACAAATTACTCAGTGTTTTTGCTTTGCACATATATGTGCATTTTGTTTAGCTTTATTAGATTCAAATGTCAAATGATTAAGTGATTAGTTATCATCTCAGAGTATGCCCCACAAACATGTATGAGCCTGTGTCAGGGGAAATGAAATATAAATACTGAATTAATTTGCCTAAGTATCTGAACGCATGCAATTCCATTGTATAACTAGAATAAGATCAAGTTTTAATATACACATTAATATCTTTTGACATGTCATAACTCTTTTACAGAAAACAGCCAAGTGATTTGCACAGTAAAATTCTAGGTCTGCAATACTATTAGTATGTGCTAATCTGTCCCAATTTACTTAATAGCTGAAATAAAAATATCAGTATCTTGGATCAGCACGATGCAAAACTGTCACACTTTTTGACGAAGCTACATCTTCTTATACTAAACTTCTGACGTATCTCGTAATGCCAAACCCGACATCTTCACACAGACGATTTCTAGCAATTTTAAAAGCCTCGGTTAAGTGTTTGATGTGTGTAAGCTGCCCGCTGATATGGGAAGAGATAGACCAAGCTCTCCCCCACCCCCACCTTGTTATTCTTTTGGGGACAGCCAGGCCACTCCAGATGGTGTGTTAGTTAGTGTTAGACATAGCTTTGGAGAAACTTCAACAGACTAAGGCTGTAATGTCAGGGTTTTGCCGTGCGTCGCCCCCTGCCCCCCGCAGTTCCCAGGGTAGGAAGGTGCTGAGATGGAAGCCGAGGGACGCCCGCCCACCTGCCACCACCTGTTCCCTCCTTGGCCCTCTGCTATAAATTCTCCTCCCTCAAAGATCCATCTAGCACTCTCCGACAGCTTCTGCGCTAAGAGCGCTCCTTCCCTATCCGAGCTTCGGGAACGATTTCTTCTTTTTTGAGGAGTCTCGGACTTTCCCAGAGGACTTCAAAGGCCTTCCCCGCACCAGCCACACCATACTCCGCGGCACGAAGCCTCCCTTCTCTTTGCCCAACTTCACGCTGGGAAAATGACTTTCCCCGGAGCATCTTCATTTCCCCTAAACCTGGGCCAGTGAAGAGGCATCAGCCTGGCTCTCCACCGGGACAGAGGCCGACCCCGCACTCCCCCAAGTGTAACCTGTCTGACTGCCCGTGAGTTGCTTGGTTTACGACTGATTCGCCAGGAAGAGCCGCGTCGGGAAGCGGCTCGACCGACGCGCCCACGCGCAGGGGCTGAGCGGACGGCCGAGCGGGGCGCCCGGCCCCCGCAGGCCCGGGGATGAAGTCCTGCAAGCCCG